AAGCTCCATATAGGATTGTGGAGTTTAAAAAAAAAAAAAAAAAAGACCTATAATTTGTCTTGTTGATTTGACTGTTGAACATTTTTTAGTGGTTTGCTTATTTTCAGTTAAATTTATTTAATTTTTATTTCAGTTAATAACTATATAAATTTTATAATTTGAAAAAAACACCTTTAATTGTAATGATTTTATATGTTGTTATAATTTTTACAGGCATATATTCCGTGAAAATAAAAATTAAGCAAAATTAATAAATTTAAAGTTTATAATTTAAAAAATAAATAATTCAAAATATCTTAAATAAGAGTAGAATAAAAATTTTTAAAACAAAGTAGAAATGTTGAATGAAATGAGAGAAAGATATTGAAATATTCTCTAATATTATTTTCAATAGTTTCAGATGAACTGAAACTACAGGTATACCTCGCCTTACATCGGTAATTGGTTCCAGGAGAACGACTTAAGTCGAATTTACTTGTCTCCAAATCTACTTGTCACTAGGCTAAACCATAAATTGTCAATTCCAGTTCTGTATTTTATTTATCAATGCATTTTTAATAATGTATGGTTAATAAGGATCTATTTTAAACTTACAAACAAATAAATTTTAGTTTTTAATATAGTACAGAAAAAAGTAATCTAAATTTACGAATGCATGTACTGTAAATACAGTACATACTTGTAAATGTATATATTTTAATATGATTTTATGTGCTTTAAACATTTTTCTAGTGATATTACGACTTCAATATTTGTGGCGGACAGACGTAAAGTCGAATAAAATGACAAACTTAATTTTTATTTTTCCATACACTTTTTTGACAAACGGCGTATAATTGAGAACGACGTAAGTCGAGGTATACCTGTATTGAAAATAATATTCATCTATAATGTCAATGTCTTTTTGTTGCTTTTGAAATTGAATGTATAAGAGGGATTTTATAAAAAGAATTGTTCTTGTAATTTTGGTACTTTAATATCATTCATTATTGATATAATTTTATAAAAACTCTTGAAATAATAGATTATTTCCCTTTTTGAAATTTTCTAAGTCCCAAAGCTGCCATTTTGTAAAAAAGTTTTCGAAAATTTTTGTTGTTTCCTGGAAAATTTGGTCTTAATTGTTAATATATTTATTTAGTTTATATGTAATTAGATTTTATCTTTTATATCATTATTAATATAACTGAAAAATTTTTTGAAAACTGATTTTAATAAAATTTAATTTGTTAAAATAAAAATCTCAGAAAAAGAGAGTTGTAAATAATAAATGTTATATACTTTCTTTTATTTCATCTTCTAGAGTAGTGTTTGATTCTTATTTCTTCAATATATTTATATTTAATCTTTTACAAAATTGGTATTGGATTGTTGTTGTTGTTCTAAACTGAGTAAATTAATTTATTCAAAGAATCTCATCCAATTCATCTTATATGTACAGTATATGAAAAAAGCTAAAATTAAGCAGCTGTACATTTAAAATAATTATTTTATCAAATCCTGATATCCTGATCCCTACTTCATCAAGATACCTGATAATTTTAATAAAAAGTTATAAACTAGTAAATGTAGTTTGTTATCATAAAAAGTATATAAAAAAATTCAAGTAAAATGTATTAATGAATTTCAAATATTTGGTAAAACTGTGGCTAACATTGCTGGTCTGCAACCTTTTTTAAGACAATTGTTCTGTTAATTTACTGCTTTATATTAATATTAGAGTTAAAGAGAATCATTGCATGTAGTTAATCATGCTGTTTCTTTTCTCTGTAAAATAAAAGATGAAAAATTGTAATTAGATTCATGCAATTGGTTTTTCTTTTTTCTTATTTAGTATGATAATAAATCTCACTTTCTCTTTCAGTTATGCACCAGGGGTAAAGTTCATATATTTAAATTCTTAGAACTTCAAGCTAGTAAAGAAGATAAGAAACAAGATATTTTGTTGGAAAATGATTTAAAACGAATGTATCGAAAGCCTGGCTATATGTAAGAATTTATTTTAGATAAAAGTTTTTATTTGATTTTCTATTTATAAATATAAATTTTAATAAGTTAAATTTGAACAGAATAAATTTCTTGAGGAGTTAATTTTTGTTCAGAAATATTTGCTTCAGAAAATTTAGTTTATCAGTTTGATTTTTTGTTAATAGAATTTGAAGACAAAAAAATTTGTTTTATACAAATTACAATTATATTACATGGTTCAAACAATATTATTATATCATTTAATACATTACACACTATTTCTTGTTTCCCTGATATCACACAAGCCAAAGTGGAAAAACGCAAGACATGTTGTGATCAGGATGCATTTTTTGACCCTAACATTGGTCACAATGCTTATGATGTTAATGCAGTTGTTGTACATACATTACAGCAACAATGGTTACTCCAACTCACCAAATTATTTTTCTTATAGTCAGTTCTTTGTATACTGTGACAATGCTGAATGATTAGTTAAGACAGTTGACATGTACAGTACATTGGAAATTGGAAAATTTTTATTTGCCCTTTCTGCTTTTAGGTATTAAGAGAGCCTTTTTCCAGGCACACATTGGGGTTGCCAAACCCCATAAATTTTTATTGCTTATTTATCCGCTTCCTGTCCACTTTTTAAAAAAAATTTTTAATTAAGCATAAAAAATACTTAAAACTGAAAAAAAAACGAAAGAAATGCATTAATTTTGGTTAAAAAGCTTCATCATTTAGTTTTCTTTGTCTTGCCTTTCTGTGAAATTTAACACCAATGAGTCATTGTTTACACATCTGGATGACCTTGAGAATAGCTGGTGTCGTATTTCCCGGGACATTCTCAGACTTCTTGGGAGGAGAAGGGTTTAAAGTAGGGTGACTAGAAATCAAACCTATATTTTTAAATATTTTTAAAAAATTATAATTTTTATTGCGATTTCCAACCCCCCCTAATTAATTAAACTTATATATAATAAAATCTATTAATTAAAAAAATTAAAAAACTATCGGAGGTCGTTTTTGACATCAGAAAGCAGCTTTAAATAACTTTACGGAAGGAAAATTGGTGCACTACAACTTTAGAATGATTAATTAATTTTGATAAAAAACTCCCATTAAAAAAACATTAAAAGGCAATTAAGCCTTAATCGAGCCTTATCAAAGGCTCATTAAAATCGCGATAAAATTTTTTCGCGCGGGCAAAAAATTCTGAATTGTTGGACCACATCATTACATGAGTTGGGTGGGACCTAAACATTCCAAAAATTAAAAAAAAAAATTTTTTTCAAAAGTGGCCTTAACGACCGTTTTTTACATAACGCTATAAAACTTGCTGGAGTCACACTGGAGTGCAGGCAGGAAGGGGGTTTTATAATTATATATTTTAAACATTTCCAAATAAGATAAGATATAGTGAAATAACAGGAAAAATTTGGGTTTTGCCATTTGATAGTAAGACTTGATTTTTTGTAAAGTTTGTTTAATACAAACATCATTAATTTGAAGTGCCAGTTTTAAGTTCTTTCAACTTTGTATTCATGAGGTTTGACTGTATAAGTTATATACATTATACCATTTTATTAACATAATAACATTTTTCTATTTGAACTATCAAATGAGAGTGGGTTAAACCCTGAAACCTCTTGTGCATAGCCTTAAAATCCAAGTACATTGAATACCTAGATAAAAATAAATAAATAAATAATAGGCATTTGATACTAAGCACTACAAGAGTATTTATATCAAGTATCTCACTATTACTTTTCTGGCTTCGTTATAAACAGAAGGAAAGTATGGTAATTGGTCAAAAAATGACCCCCGAGATTTTTACATTTTTGGACTCAGGACCTTGAAATGTCAAGAAATACAAAAAACATTATGGAGTTTTTCTTTATATATTGATGTTAGTGTGTGTATGGGACATGATTTTGTTCACCCTCTTCTAACAGCTGTGCATTTTGTCAAAATTTCTGAAATTTTTCTGGGAGGTTTGTTTATTAGAGGGATTGATTCTATTAAATTTTGATGGTTACAGGTGGGGAGTTAATTAATTAAAGGGGCTGTGTGTTGTATCTCAAGTAACATTGGACTTAATGACAATTTTATTCATTATTAGCATTTATGATATTTTATAAAACCCATATATCTACCCTCAAAATTGAGCTGTTTGCCATTTTATAATAATTAAAAATATAAAAGTATCTTAATAAAATATCATAACAGATGGAGTCACTCAATTTTAAATGTTGCTGAGAAAGTTAGACAACTGGTTGCTGGATTTTTTTACAGTTTATAATAAATTTTTAAAAACTGTAATTTAATTTTATGATGGATATACAGTATTAGTTTTTAATTAATGAAATAAATCTTCTCAATATCCGGTGTGGTAGCTGATGAATACGTAGATTTAGTATATGTCTCTTTAATCCGAATTGCAATAAAGGAGTACCTAACCTTATAGCTGAGAGAAAGTCTACCGTTTTTACTAATTCTGATTAAAGAGACATATACTAAACCTAATGAAATAAATAATGAGTGCAGTTTTTCTAATCATCTTATGTCTTATGTGTAAATTGATTAAGTTTTTTCTTTTTTCAGAGTTGATCTAAGATTTCAGAATGGCTTACCAACAGAGAATAAAGTAAAACGATGTACTGTTGATTCAGGATATAACACATCTGATGGTGGAGAAAAGAGACGATCTCAGGAAATTCAAGATGTAAGGAACTTAATTTTATTATCATCATTATGTTTTAGTTGAATAATTAAAACATAGTGATAGTGAACAAATTGTTATTCAAGTTTTAGTAGTGACATATTAAGAAATATATTTAGATAAATGTACGAGGGCTATTTTTTAAATAAGGTCCGTTTGTGAATGAGAGTGAGAATAATGTGCAATTGCAGCAGTGCATATGTGCATCTGCTCCAAGCATGTTTTGCGCGCATTTATACGCCATTTGCACTCATATCGTCTGTCTGTGTGCTGAGCTGTAAAAGTTTATAATGTTTAATTTAAGAAAATTGAGTCACTCGCTGACTCTGAGATACGATCTGTTATTCGATTCTTGAGTGCAAGAAACTTGGCAGCAGTGGAAATTCGACATCAAATTTGTGAAGTTTAGGGTGATAATGCTATGAGTGACAGTAAAGTTCAAAAGTGGGTGAGTATGTTCAAGGATGGACAAGTTAATGTGTGTGATGAGCCATGCCCTGGCCGACCTTCTCTGATTTCTGTAGATTTGGTTTGTGATGTGGATAACACAGTTCGAGAGGACCGACGATTCACGATTTCAATGTTATCAATTTAATTTCCACGGGTTTCAGATCAGTTTTGTACACCATTGTTTTGGAGAAACTGAATTATCGAAAATTGTGTTCTTGGTAGGTTCCAAGACTACTTTCTGACGATCACAAAACAAAACGATTGGGCAGTGTTTTATCGTTTTTAACTCAATATGATCAGGAAGGAGATGAATTGTTGGACCACATCATTACATGAGTTGGGTCTCTCACATGACGCTTGAGTCCAAGCAACAGTCAATGGAATGGTGACACACATCTTTGCCAACCAAAGCCAAACAGCCCATTTCAGCATGAAAAATTATGACAACTTTCTTTTAGACAGGAAAGGGATTTTGTTAGTGGATTTTATGCAAGAGGCATAACAATCAATTCTGATGCATATTGTGTGACTTTGAGAAAATTTCGATGTGCCTTACAAAACAAACAGCATGGTCTACTGTCTTCCAGTGTGATGTTGCTCCATGACAATGCAAGGCCATAAGTTTCTGCAAGGTCAAACACAAGGTCTGATCAGTTCTTTTGGATGGGAACAACTGGATCATCCACGTTACAATCCAGACTTTGCATCCAGTGATTTTCACTTGTTTTGATACTTAAAGGAATTCCTTGGTGGTCAACAGTTCAACGATGATGAAGTGAAAACTGCAGTCATGGATTCGGCTTTTTCACCAGCGGCAGATTTCTTTGAAGTCGGAATTCAAAAAATTGTTGAGCAGTATGACAAATGTATGAACAAAAATGGAAATTATGTAGAAAAATAGAAAAAGTATGTAGAATATGAGAAAAAATATATTTTAATGATATTTACAGTATTTTTCTTCTTATTAAAAAACGGACCTTATTTAAAAAATAGCTCTCATATGACAAAAATGAAAACTAATATGAAAACATTTTAATTTTCCACATGCCCATTTTAGTCATCAGAACCTTTATTTATAGGCTCCTCTTCATCTAAACATATGCAAATGGTAAGAATGATGCCAGAGTGAGAATTAGATGATTTGCATGTGCATCAGCAGAGAGGACTTAAAAAGGATTCTCTCTGCTAATGTTGAGTGTGTTCTGACAAACTGAAATGGACATTTAGGAGACTTAAAAACATTTTCATGTTAGTCTTCATTTTTGTAATTTCTATAAAAATTTCTACTTGAATTTTTTTTACAGTTTTTGTAGTTTTTCTTTATTTTAACAAAATTATTCAAATTCTCAATAAAATACATAATTTTAAAACCACTTTATAAAATAATTTCAAGTAATGTATGGAGTTAGATAAAAATTTATTAAAAATGCAATTTCATTTAAATTTACTTTTTGAGTAAATAGATTTTAAAACAATTCCAATTCAATCTAACTTAATATAAAAATTTACAAAATAAAATTAATAATTTTNTGGAAGAAAAGAATTGGCCCGGATTTGGTTGGTATATAGCTTTATGTATAACGGGTTAGTCGATATAGTTTTTTTATATATATATATACATGCTTTGCCAGGGTTGCGATGGCCTTAGGAGATGTTTACAGGACATGGGCGCTTAATGTGTCCCCAGCTGGCATTGTAATGACCGTCGATGGTCGTATGTAAGGTTATGTATACTGGAAGAGGAGTTCGGACTGGAGGTCCAGGTAGCGTAATTGGCAATGCATCTGCACAGTGAGCAAGAGTTGCGAGTTCAAGTCCCACTCCGGGCTGATTCTTTTCTTCCAGTTAGTTCTAAATTATTTAAATTATTTAATTAAAATTATAATTATTAAATTTAGCAAGAGATGGCACTTAACGCCTAACTCTAGTACCAAATTATCTTATAAATTATTATTAGTTTAGCCGGTTCTAGTTTGATAATTCAGCTTTGGTTGGTGTATGGCTTTAATTACAGAATAGTTGAAAAATGTAGAAATTTAGAAATTTGTTGGTTAGATGGCTGCATTATAAAAAATAGCTTTAGAGATCTGGTTTCAGTGTAATTTTTTTATAGTAATTTTATGGGTTAGGCCATCATTTACTATCTGTCACTTATTTTGATCGGCTCTATTGTAGACTCTGAGATAAAGTGATTCATTTAATACAAGATATTATAATGGATATAATTTGGCTACTCTTGATTACTCCTGTTATGGGTGGGATTGATCCACAATTGATCAGTTAAATTGGATAAGGTACAATACTTTGACTTATGCTGTCCATGGATTCTAATCTCTCCTTCATAATTATAGATTAATGTCTTATTGCATAACCATCTTAGCAACATGCACAAAAATGAATCTTTGATCATGTAGCTAATAGTGTGCATTAACAAATAAAATCAAATATTTATAAAATTATGTTAATGTAATTACTGTTAATTATATTTAAAAATATTAGATTGAAAATATAAACATTTATTACTCTAACTAAAGTACAAATAAATAATTTAATTTCATATAAATATTTTCATTTACAAATTTATTTTTTGACATACATAATTTGTACTAAATTTTTATAAGAAATTCATTGTGTTAAAATTTATGACCATTAAAAATGAAATTTTCTTATTTTTCCTAGTTGAATATTGATTTAGAAGAAACAAGGTCCATGAAAACATATAAATCTACAAATGAAAATCAGTTCAGTAAATCCAATAATATACTAAACAGTTTTGATTTAAATGAACATATCTCCATTTCTAATAATCTCATTAAGCAGGTAATGAATTTTTAAAAATTGTCATTAATATTCAAATTAACAGTTGATTTTTTATCTTATCATCGTTACCTACAAAGTGCAATAAATTGAAAAAATAATTTCATACTATCCTGTTTATAAATACTATTTATAAGTGATTATATTTTCAGTTTTGTAGACTTTATTAACACTAATTTTATCATATATTTAAATGCTTGAACCTAGTCACTAATGATTAATATTTCATATGAGATTATTGATTACTGACTATGCATGATCTTATATAAACTTAGATAGAAACAAAGATATCAGAGAAGTACAATAATTATATATTTCATAAAAAATTTAGTGTAATCACTAAAACAACTTTTTCTGTAACTGTCTATAATGAAAATATTTTTAATAATACTTATATATGATCCATTATAAATTAGATGACTTATGATTCATTGCAGGGAAAGTAGTAATAAGTAGTACAAATAACAGAAATAAGTTATATCTTTAGTATAGATTCTTTTGAAAATCAATATATTTCTTAACAGCAAAAATGTTATATCAAATTAAAATGAATTTGATACAAAGTATTCATTTAGTTGTGCTTACATAATAGCTAGTCAGACTTCCAAAATAAGTTTTACTTAAATGGTTTATTGAACAATACAGTTAGTTTTTCAATTAATTGATTATTTTAGATTTGCAACTTTAAAATAGTTAAAAACATTCATACAATAAAAGTTTAAAAATCTGGACAATCTGAGAATTAAGNGTTATGTACAATAATTATTTTTCTAAAGATAATTATCTTATAGACTAGAATACAAATTGAGTGTTATAGTATGAATACTGTTTTGCTATCATTAATTGAGGTTTATAAGGAAATTTGCAGTAGCAACTAGCCAATAGATCTACTACCTGAAATTATTCCTGGAGAAAGAATACTGATACAACGTACATTATTTTATTTTATAAGTTTATTTTCTCATATACTGATTTCATAGTATATTAATATTGTATTAGCTTGTTTCAAATTTTATTTGTGAAAGATGGTTATAAAATCATTCAAAATTTATTTAATATGCAGGGGTCACTCTGGAAAATTCAAAAATATTGCTATGCTAACCATTTGCCAGTTTTAAATTTTTTCACCACTTCAAATTATTTATCAGCATTGATTTTACTTACTAATTTATGCAGGTGCCGATAGCCTTATCAGTTTGGCATCTGGAAAGCAAAAGTAGCATGTAGGCTGTCACTTACAGGGAGATAATCAAACATTTGGGTCTCCAATTTAAATGAAACCTGGTGAACACATAGTCTTAAACACAAACAGTTCCTTGTCCAAATAATAGGATCCATTTCTCAAGCATTTTCCAAAAATAGTCCTCTGAAAATTTAGTGTTTACTAATAAGTCTGAAAGTTCCATGTCTCTGAGTGACTATAGCTGAGTGGATAAGACCCTATGCACTGAAGCTAGATAATATAGGTTTGAACCTATGGAATTTTAGTTTAGTTTTGTTTTTTTTAATAAGTAACTTTATTATTTTATTGCATCGTTAGCATTATTATTACTATTATTATTCCTCACATTTAAAGCTTATAAAACAAGAGATTAAAACTTGTTACATCATTTCTCATTTACTGAAAACAAGTCGCTGTAGTTTTTACTCTTATAGCTTCTAGTCCTTTTTCTCTTTTTTAGGATTTTATTCTTTTATAGCTATGTATCTTTTGGCTTTTAATCTAACTTATTATACCATACTTTCTTAATTTGGATTTTTCCTTTTATTTTGTAGTAACTTTAAACTCCAATATGTACATTTTGGGATTTTTTTACCTATTTTCAGTTGTATTATTCAAATATAGTGCCCCAACTGAAGAAGGATAAAAAAAAACCTGAAATATTGGCGTTTAAAGTTATTAAAAAATAAAAGAAAAAAACAAAGTTAAAAATTGTGGTATGATAAGTTTGGATTAATAGCCAAAAAATACATAGCTATAAAGGAATAAAAAAAAACTCTCTGTAGATTAACTCTTCTACATTGTTAAATAAAATTTTTTTCTTCATATTTATTTTAATACATAATGGTATTGTGATATTTGAAGTGTAACAAAAACACAAGTGTGTGGGGAAATTGTCCATAATATTAACAATAAAAACATAAAACGCTGTGACTATGCTACCCTATTTTCAAATCACTTGTCTTTTTCATCCATGTGCAGTAACATCTGTAGCTTATTTGCTTGTGAGGACATAGTATGTAAAATATGTGAAAATAGATGTGAAGAAATAAAAGCTTTATTTAACATATGAAAGAGTTTAGTGAGAACAAGCCTCTGTAGACTTAACAGAAAATGACATCACAATTTTCAATTTCTTGTTTTATAAGCTTTAAACATGATAAATAATAATAATAATGCTAAAAATATAATACACCAAGAGCTTGCAAAGAAACACAAATTATTAGACCTCCACGAACCATACACAAATACATTCCATAGACAGTATTGGAAAACAACATGCACAAAATGTACTACGACAGAGCCATAATCACAGATAAAACAATTTATCACAACAGACCAGACATCACACTCATTGACAAACACAATAAAATCACATACATTATAAACATAGCCATTCCAAACACTCACAATGTACAAAACACATGCACTGAAAAAATTAGCAAGTACACAGAACTCACCAGGGAATAAGGCATCTGTGGAGGATGGATAGGGTGCTTATTGTACCTGTCATTCTCTCCTGAACAGGTGTAATACCACACACACTACATAAAAGCCTGGGAACATTACAATTGAGTAGAAATACATACATCACACTACAGAAGGCCACTATATTGAATACATGCCACATTGTTAGGAAATTCCTGAATACAGACACAGACACACTTATTTAATTTTAGTTTCTGGTTGCTATGCCTTGACTCTGGTCTGGCATAGTACACAGCCACCGGTGTGTACCGAGTATAACCCACTAAACCCAACATAATAATGTTAATGATGCAGTAAAATAGTAATGTTAGACATGACCAAAAAAAACTGAACTAAAATTCCAAAGGTTGAATATATATCAATTACCTTCAGTGCAGAGCATTTTATCTACTTGGCTATTGCTGCTCAGAGACATGAAACTTTCAAAAACTTAAAGGCTAAATACTAAATTTTCAAAGGTTAATTCTTGGGGATATAGTTGAGAAATGGTCTTGTTATTTGGACAAGGATTGTTTATGTTTAATGCTACTTTGCTCACCAAGTTTTATTTGAATTTTAGACCCAATGTCTGTCTCTCTCCTTGTTAGCGATAGGAATAATTTTTGAATAATTCTGAATAACACTTTTGATCACAATGTTCAAACAGTATTTTACATAAGTTAATTGAAGACACAGACTGTCCAAAAAATATAAAAATATAAAAAACTTTTTTGGTAGACACCATTTATATCTAATTAAAATTTGGTAGACACCGTTAATATCTAATTAAAATTATAAATTTCAATTTATTGAAATTAATTTATTGAAATTTATAATTTTAATTAGATATTTTTCTGTGTTTTTTAAAGGAATGTTTGTAAATTTGACGGCCAAGTAGCCTAAAAAAGAAGGTCAGATCATCAAAAAGTTTTTGTTCTGGAAGACGTGAAGTGAATAAATGGTGTCTATAAAAAAAGTTTTTTATATTTTTTGGACAGTCTGTGCCTTCAATTAATTTATACAAAATTAATATCATCCGACGAAATTCCAAGTATTTTAAATGTTCTGTCATGTCAAAATTTTTGTTTTAGTCTACTGAAAAAAGATCAAACCAAAAAAGTTACCCCAAAATATTTCCCAAAATTTCTGTTGATCAATAAAAATTCCCAATCTGGAAATGCTGGGCTGCATTGCACAAAATTGCCTTTTGTTCTCAACATTACTTCTTACTGTTCTGCCCAAACTTATCGCATGATGACATGAAACTGCTAGATATGTGGTGCATGGGATTCCCATTGTATAGTAGCTCAACATTTTGCTATTTTTCCTGAACTGTGATTTGTGATTAAATTTTATGCTGAATGTGGAAACAAGCAGATTAGGGTTTTTATCACCACTTTAATAAAAATATTGCCAAGTGGCAATTTTAGTGCTATGCAGTGTAACCCCTGAATATGATGATATGGTCATTTCATTTTTCATATAATTTTCATCATTTTATCTGATATATGATTTATGTCAGTGATAAGCAATCTTTTTTGGATGAGGGTTGCAAGGGAACTTTATAGGCTTTTGGCATGCCATGTGCATTTTTCTTTGACTTGCAGGTTTTAATCATGCTGAGAAGAAAATACTCCATAACCATTAGTATACTAGGTACTAAAATAATATGTGCAAATTAGTAATATATTTTATTGTCATCTTTTCACTAGTCAAGTTTTGTTTGATTATTCTTCTGATGAATATTGGCTTAGTTAGGGTTGCATAATGATGAGAGACAAAAAATAGAAAAATAAAATCATGTTGCCAAAGCCTCAGTGGCCTCTCAGGTCATGTGGTCCAGGGGCTGTGAGTTGCTCATGACTGATTTATATTATACTGAATTAAATTTTTATAATAGGAACAAAATAAAAGAAATGAAAAGTTTTCTGTGGAATACTTAAATGGAAAGTCCCCAATAAATAAGAATACAAGCAAAATTAATAAAGAAGATTTTAGTAAAAAATATTTAAGGTAAGTGTTAATTATGTATTACAAAATTGTGTTCATGATATTATTACAAATTGGTAAATCCTCAAAATCAGTAGATGAAGATAAAAATTTCCGAAAATTAATACAATTCATTCAAGAATTTTAATCATGCTAATTAAAAACATTCAGCTTTTTTCTTAATGTTCTTTATATATGTGCAGTAAGTACATAAATTTTAGATTAAGTGCATTATGTTTCTAGTAATCATTTCAAATTACCATAACAATACTGGTAGATAAATATATCAGAAAAATTGAACACTTTCAAACCAAGAATAATTATTGGTAATTGTTAATGTTATTCTGTGTTTTGCACAAGTAAAGACACTTTCAGTTTAATACTCTTACAAATGTAAGTTATCATAAATAATACAAAGCAACTTAGCTCTGCTTTCACATAAACCTCTTGTCTTTTTAATTCTGGTGCCAATTGATGACAGCACTCTCTCAAGTTTTCTCTGATTTTTGCTTATTAAATTAAATACTCCCAACAGTAATAAATAAATTTCACATTATACTAATACTCTATTCTTATTAATTTAATTTTGATGTAGTAAATTTAATGTTATCAAGATTAATTAATTAATTAGAATTTTTAATTGAATAATGAACATTTAATTTGTAATATAAAAATGCATTGTTATACGCTTTGAGTCATGAAATAGTCTTCTGTAATAACAGTGTTAGTGTAATAATTTTCCAAAAATTAAATTAAACATCAATTAATTCAAAATAAATAAAATAAAATATTTTAAATGTTTATTTTTTAGTTTTTAATTTTTATTTTGTAAATTAATTAATAAATATTTAGAATTGTTTCAGAATTATTAAAAAGTTTTTCAAAATGACATATAATAAATTTTGTTAAAATCTATATTGCAAATATTTTTCACGTTAATTCAAAACACACTAATTTTGTTTAAAGTAATAACAATAACAATTATAATCTGAAATTCAGGTCTCAAGATTTGAATTTTTAATTGAAATGGACATAATGATGTCATCAGATATAAGCAGTTTTGATAGCACGTCTACATACTGTGAAATGAATACTTGGCATTTTGTGTTTCAGTCCATCCAATTACAGTCATCTATTGCATGGCAAACAAGCCCTGACATGTACAAGAAAATGCTCAAATGTGCATGTGTTTGTGGTTACAGCTGTTTTTTATTTATCAAATGTTCTATTTTTACTCAAATTATTTGTCAAAAATAAAGCCTGAGAATAATAAATAATAATAAATTAAAAAAAAAAAAATTGGATAAATAAATGAAAAAAAACTGTTAGAAATAGAAAAATAGAAGTATATCAAACATTGCAAAGCTCAATATATATATAGAAATATTACCAAATGATTGCTACTAGTTGGGATATAACTCTGCTAATTTAATGGTTAATACTAAGTAATTTGCTACTAGAGTTAGACGTTAGGCACCATCTCTTAACCAAATTAATAATAATAGTTCTAAATTATTTAATAAATTATTAAAATTATTGGGGAGAAGAAAATTGAGCAGGGTGGGGCATGTGGTGGTTGCAGGTAATTTAGGCAATTATTTGGAGGTGATTTTAGAAATAAGAGAAATTACAATAGTTATTCTTAGCAATAACCATGAAACTTTTTTAATGATGATAGATAATTACTATTAGTTAAATGTTCAAGTAAATATATTGTAATGAATATTTAAAAAAATTTATTATTAGAAATTTTTAAACAGTAAATAAATAGCTTGATATTAATTAAACATTGGAATAGAATTAGTTATTACAGTTAATTTTCAAAATCTTTGTTATAATAGTATATTTTTTCCTGTCAGATTATACTGGAAATTTAGAGTAAATATATATTATCTGAATTGTTTTATATTAATTTCAAATAGTTGATTTTTAAATACAGTACATGCTAAAAATTAAATATAAAATTGTTGTTGAATTGCATTGAGTATATATATAACAGAGAAAATTTACTTTGAGTTTAGAATATATAATAATAACTATTCATATTACAGCATTACCAGATTATCTTCTAGTGACTCCAATGTTGCAGATGATGATTGTAAATTTGGGAATCTGTCTGTAAGTGGAGAAAATAAAAGGCCCTATCCACATATTCAAACTTACAAAGAATATAAAGAAGCATTACGTCTTCAAAGAGCTGGTGATAATAATATTTACAAGAAAGTTACTGTAGACGGAACTACAAGGTACTTTTATTAAATTTAATATAAATATAAGTAAAATAATGCAGAAGAAAAATTTTATTTGTATCAGAATTAATAATTATATATTTCATAAAAAATTTAGTGTAATCACTAAAACAACTTTTTCTGTAACTGTCTATAATGAAAATATTTTTAATAATACTTATATATGATCCATTATAAATTAGATGACTTATGATTCATTGCAGGGAAAGTAGTAATAAGTAGTACAAATAACAGAAATAAGTTATATCTTTAGTATAGATTCTTTTGAAAATCAATATATTTCTTAACAGCAAAAATGTTATATCAAATTAAAATGAATTTGATACAAAGTATTCATTTAGTTGTGCTTACATAATAGCTAGTCAGACTTCCAAAATAAGTTTTACTTAAATGGTTTATTGAACAATACAGTTAGTTTTTCAATTAATTGATTATTTTAGATTTGCAACTTTAAAATAGTTAAAAACATTCATACAATAAAAGTTTAAAAATCTGGACAATCTGAGAATTAAGACATTTTAAAATTGCAAACTGCTAACAATTTTATGTCATGTATGTGTATTTGGTGAAAAACAATTTGATCACAAAGAAATTATAATCTCTTAAACAAAGTGATAGTTTAAAAAAAAAAACTAGAAATTTCTACTTATATAAGAAGTGTATCATCTACAATTAGTGTACCAAATGCACATGAAAGAATCAAGGTAAAAGAATAATTTCTTTTAGTTTTTTTTTAATAAAAATATTTCTTTTGTGAATGATTTCAAGAATAAATTCATACTATATTATTTTGTAATGAAAACACCATCATGATGTTTTCTTTTTCTGTCCTTTCAAATCTGAATTTTAAAGTTATTCTTATGAATCTAGAAAACCCCAAAATATGGACCATTCCAATTTTTGGAAATCCTGAGTTTTGGGTTGTTGCTATATTTTAAATTTACTATATTGATGATTCTTCTGTTATTAACTTCAATTAGAAAATTTAGTTTCAATAATAATCTGTTATAGTTATAGACTGGGATGATGATAATAATAATAATAATAATAACTGCATCAAACAGCTGGTTAGATCGGGGATGCCTCTTTGGGGAGATGGAAGGATTTGTGATTGCCATACAGGATCAGGTCATAAATACTAAAAACTACAGAAAACACATACTCAAAGATACAACACTCACAAATGACACATGCAGAAAATGTCACATCATGCCAGAAACTATACAACACATCACTTCTGGTTGCAAGCTCTTGGCACAGACAGATTACTTACATAGACACAATCAAGTAGCAAATATAATACACCAAGAGCTTGCAAAGAAACACAAATTGGCAGACATCCACGAACCATACTACAAGTATATTCCACAGACAG